AAAGATCTTCATCATAAGCGGATCTTCACATGTGGGTCTTCAGTAGCTGCTAAGGAGCCTCGGACGATGTATGCTCACCGAAACTGTGGCTTATTGTTAACAGCAGTGGCCTCGGAATAATAGTGATGGCCTCGAAATTCCCCTCTGAGGCTAGGAAAATATCTCTTGACTTGATTAAGTTGGTCCCACCGCTAATCATTCATAAAAGATCTTCATCATAAAAGAGTCACGTCAATCATTCATAAAAGATCTTCATCATAAGCGGATCTTCACATGTGGGTCTTCAGTAGCTGCTAAGGAGCCTCGGACGATGTATGCTCACCGAAACTGTGGCTTATTGTTAATAGCAGTGGCCTCGGAATAATAGTGATGGCCTGGAAATTCCCCTCTGAGGCTAGGAAAATATCTCTTGACTTGATTAAGCTGGTCCCACCGCTAAAATACGGTGCCATGTGTCGTTTTCATATATTAACCCGTAACAACATCAATTTGATGTAAACAATGCTTTCTTACATGATGATTTAAATGAGGAGGTATGTATGGAAATACTTCCTGGACATCCCAATAAAGGAAACTCAAAGGTGTGTAAGTTGATCAAAAGCTTATATGGGCTCAAACGGGCATCTAGACAATGGTATTTCAAACTTTCAACCTTTATTATTGAGCAGAGGTTCACTCAATCAAAGGCTGATTATAACCTTTTTACAAAGTCTACTGGTGATTCATTCATTGGAATCTTTGTTTATATGGATGATATAATTGTGGCAAGTATCAATATGAACAACATTGATTCCTTCTAAGTTTTGCTTGTCAGGAAGTATATGATCAAGGACTTGGGGACATTAAAATACTTCTTGGGAATAGAAGTTGCAAGATCTGATATGGGGATTTACATTTGCCAACGAAAATATGCCTTAGACATATTATCCGATTTAGCAAAGATAGGATGCACACCAGCTAGAATACCTCTGGATCAAAACGTGAAGATCTCTAAATCTGATGGAGAGGCAATCTCTGATCTGACAGTTTAAAGGAGACTTATTGGTAGATTGTTATATCTAACCATCACTAGGCTTGATCTTTCATATTCAGTTAAGCTACTTAGTCAGTTTATGAGTGATCCTCGAGTTACTCACTTAAATGTTGTTTATAAGGGCTTAAGATACATAAAGAGAGCTCCAGGATAGGGACTATTTTTTTCTAGTAGCTCAAATTTGTAACTCAATGCTTTTAGTGATTCAGATTGGGGATCATGCCTAGATACTCGAAGAAGTGTCACAGGATATTGTGTTTTATTGGATCTTTTCTAGTATCTTGGAAATCCAAGAAGCAAGGCACAATATCCAGGTCTTCAGCAGATGCAGAGTACATGACAGGCAAACGTGTGTTGTGAATTAACTTGGATCAGATATCTTCTTCAAGACTTAAAAATTGATCATCCACAAGCTGCTAATCTGTTTTGTGATAATAAATCAGCCTTACACATTGCAGCAAACCCAGTCTTTCACGAAAGAACGAACCACATAGAGCTAAACTGCCATCTTATACGCGACAAAATTTAAGAAGGAAGTATAGTTACTAAGCATCTCAGTAGCAATCTTCAAGTTGCAGACATATTGACTAAAACTTTAAATTCATTTCAGTTTTATCAACATATGGACAAGATGAGAGTTTTTGACATCCACTCTCCATCTTGCGGGGGATGTTGAAATATCAAGCTCAACTCATGGAAGATCAGCTGCAGCAGCATCAGCCAATATTATTAGTGATGGCCTCGGAATTCCCCTCTGAGGCTAGGAAAATATGTCTTGACTTGATTAAGCTGGTCCCACCGCTAAAATAACGTGCCACGTGTCGCTTTCATATATTGACCCGTAACAACATCAATTTGATGTAAACAATGCTTTCTTACATGGTGATTTAAATGAGGAGGTATGTATGGAAATACCTCCTGGACATCCCAATGAAGGAAACTCAAAGGTGTGTAAGTTGATCAAAAGCTTATATGGGCTCAAATGGGCATCTAGACAATGATATTTCAACCTTTCAACCTTTATTATTGAGCAGAGGTTCACTCAATCAAAGGCTGATTATAGCCTTTTTACAAAGTCTACTGGTGATTTATTCATTGGAATCTTTGTTTATGTGGATGATATAATTGTGGCAAGTAACAATATGAACAACATTGATTCCTTCTAAGTTTTACTTGACAGGAAGTATATGATCAAGGACTTGGGGACATTAAAATACTTCTTGGGAATAGAAGTTGCAAGATCTGATATGGGGATTTACATTTGCCAACGAAAATATGCCTTAGACATATTATCCGATTCAGGAAAGATAGGATGCATACCAGCTAGAATACCTCTAGATCAAAACGTGAAGATCTCTAAATATGATGGAGAGGCAATCTCTGATCTGACAGTTTATAGTAGACTTATTGGTAGATTGTTATATCTAACCATCACTAGGCTTGATCTTTCATATTCAGTTAAGCTACTTAGTCAGTTTATGAGTGATCCTCGAGTTACTCACTTAAATGTTGTCTATAAGGGCTTAAGATACATCGAGAGAGCTCCAGGATAGGGACTATTTTTTTCTAGTAGCTCAAATTTGTAACTCAATGCTTTTAGTGATTCAGATTGGGGATCATGCCTAGATACTCGAAGAAGTGTCGCTGGATATTGTGTTTTATTGGATCTTCTCTAGTATCTTGGAAATCCAAGAAGCAAGGCACAATATCCAGGTCTTCAGCAGATGCAGAGTACATGGCAGGCAAACGTGTGTTGTGAATTAACTTGGATCAAATATCTTCTTCAAGACTTAAAAATTGATCATCCACAAGCTGCTAATCTGTTTTGTGATAATAAATCAGCCTAACACATTGCAGCAAACCCAGTCTTTCACGAAAGAACGAAACACATAGAGCTAAACTGCCATCTTATACGCGACAAAATTTAAGAAGAAAGTATAGTTACTAAGCATCTCAGTAGCAATCTTCAAGTTGCAGACATATTGACTAAAGCTTTAAATTCATTTCAGTTTTACCAATATATGGACAAGATGAGAGTTTTTGACATCCACTCTCCATCTTGCGGGGGATGTTGAAATATCAAGCTCAACTCATGGAAGATCAACTGCAGCAGCATCAGCCAATATTATCTGATCAACAAGAAGAAAGCTGTCGTTGGGAAGGCATGGAGCTGAATGATGACAGAGGGTAGTACAATTCAGCAAATTGGACCACTATTTCTGTTAGAATATTTACGGTTGTTTTGCAATCTATTGATTATTATTTTAGCATAGATTTTATCCTTCTAGATTCTTGTCATTGTATTATAAATACCACATTGATGTACAAAGTTAATCAATCAATTTAATGGAATCATTTTCTTCCACCATTGTTGTTGTGTGCTATTTTATCTTTGGTAATTAGTTAAGCTTTTCTTATAATAAAGTACAGCAGGCTATAACATATTGGTTAAGCTTCTTCTTCCATTATTCTTTCACTTAATCGAACACAGTGTACTATAAGTACCTGTATAGTAAACTTTTAAGCTCACAAAAATCATCATCGGTGATGATAAATATTGAAGTTGAAACAAATGCATAAAAATGTACAACTTCTGGTTTTTGACTCCAGTCGCTTGAGATATTATATTTCCAAAGGTGAATAGTTACTACTCTTTTTACTACACGTCACTTATTTGCTATTATTTTAAGCAAAACAACACATATTTTTAACATGAAATCTAGACAAGTAACTAACTGTAGTTCAAATTCCCTCACTCTAACTCAATTATAAAAGATTACATGCGTGTCAAGTTTTTGATAAAAGATAGACAATGATTCACATGAAACGAGATAAAATAAATACATAAATTTCTACCCAAATTCTTTTTACACGTTAGGATGATAATCGCCCATAGATTGGCATGAAAGGGAAGGCTCGCGTTCCAAATCAGGTGAGGTTATTGTTCTATCAAAAAATCTGTGGCAGTGAAGTTGACCTTTTTCTTTGCAGAAAAATCATGACAGCAGAATAGTTGACTTGTATCTTGCATTCAAGACAGTCAAACTTCGAAATTTTATTAAATTTCTTGGCATGCAAAGGATAAAGATTTTTTAAATTGAGTTTTGACTCACGCAATGTAAACCATTGATATAAATTGTTGGTGGGTTGTTCACCGAACTGCAACCAGCCACAAGATCCAATCCAAACCCCTGATTTCAAGAAAAAGTATAAACAAGTTTTTGGCTTAATAATTCTGCATTTCTTTTATCCCACGATTCATTTATGAATGAATTTTCAATAAAGTTATAAGCAGATTCTTAGCTTTATTTACTGCATTTTCTTGTGTTAACCCATGATTTTCAAGAAAATTATAAGCAAAATCTTTGTTTTTTTGTGCATTTTTCTTGAGTTTAATAGAACGGAATCTCATTTTGTGTTCTCGCAACCAATCTCATTTATTCCCTTCATTAAATGCATGAATTTATAGAGCTCAGCTCTTTTCTCTGCAGAAAATAGTTGGAATTGGAATTACAGAGGGATAGAGAGAGAAGAGAGGAGGTTTGCTTTGGAGTTTGAAGAACTCACTGTAAGTGTTTCTTTTTGGCTTTTTTTACAGACTTGATTTTCTCTTTTGGGTTTTTTGTTTTATCTTGAATTTTAATTCCAACTGCCACTGGGATGCATTTATGGCATAGAGAGAAAAGTAGAGAGAGTGTAAAATTCAAGAAACAGACAGGCCTCAGTAATTACCTTTTCAATTATTCTGATCTATAAATTACCCCGAGCAAAGTTAATTTTTCTTCATCACAAACCGAATTTTTCTCTACCCTTTTTCCACATCTTTCAATTTACAATCGCAAAATTCTGAAAATTCCATTAAACTAACAGCAACCCACAATTTTTTATGCAAAAATCATTGTAAAGAGTTTCAAGTTTTTGAGTTCGATTCATTGGATTTGTTAGGTTTTTTATTTTTTCTTGAGAAATGGATATATATGTAACATTGCTGTTTTTCGTTGCTGTCACTTGTTATCTACTATGGTTCACTTTCATTTCCAAGTCATTGAAAGGCCCACGTGTTTGGCCAGTGCTGGGCAGTCTCCCAGGCCTTATCGAAAACTCCGAACAGATGCACGAGTGGATTGTCGATAACCTCCGCGCGTGTAGCGGAACGTACCAGACATGTATATGTGCCATACCTTTCTTGGCCAGGAAACAGGGCCTTGTGACAGTCACTTGTGATCCTAAGAATTTAGAGCACATCTTGAAAACCCGGTTTGATAATTATCCGAAAGGTCCAACTTGGCAGGCCGTTTTTCATGATCTACTCGGCCATGGGATTTTCAATTCGGATGGTGATACGTGGCTTGTTCAAAGAAAGACGGCCGCCCTCGAGTTCACGACACGTACCCTACGTCAAGCTATGGGAAGGTGGGTGAACCGGGCAATCAAGAATCGGTTTTGTCCGATTCTCAAGACAGCTCAACTCGAAGTCAAGCCGGTTGATTTGCAAGATCTATTGCTTCGGCTCACTTTTGATAACATATGTGGCTTGGCTTTTGGGAAGGACCCGGAAACTCTTGCGCCTGAGATGCCGGATAATAGCTTCGCCTCCGCATTTGACCGAGCCACCGAGGCATCATTGCAGCGGTTTATTTTTCCTGAAGTTGTATGGAAGCTGAAGAAATTGCTACGGCTCGGAATGGAAGTCAGCTTGAGCCGGAGTCTCGTAAACGTGGACAAGTATTTGTCCAGCATAATCAAGACACGTAAGCTCGAGCTGATGAATAAGCAAAAAGATGCTAATCCACATGATGACTTGCTATCAAGATTCATGAAGAAAAAAGAGTCCTACTCAGACAAATTCTTGCAACAGGTGGCGCTCAATTTCATCCTAGCTGGACGGGACACTTCATCCGTCGCACTGAGCTGGTTCTTCTGGTTGGTCATGCAAAATCCAAGGGTCGAAGAGAAAATTCTACGTGAAATATGCACCGTTCTGATCGATACACGCGGGATCGACATAGAGTCTTGGGTTGATGATCCTTTAGTATACGAAGAAGTCAATCGCTTGGTATACCTAAAAGCAGAATTATCCGAAACACTCCGGTTGTACCCTTCGGTGCCTGAGGACTCCAAGCATGTTGTGGCAGATGACACATTGCCAGACGGTACATTTGTCCCTGTAGGATCATCGGTTACATATTCAATATATTCGGCTGGACGAATGAAGTCCACGTAGGGTGAGGATTGCCTAGAGTTCAAGCCAGAAAGATGGTTATCCCCTGAAAGCAAGTTCACAATGCATAACTCTTACAAATTTGTCTCCTTCAACGCTGGTCCAATAACATGTTTAGGCAAGGACTTGGCCTACTTACAAATGAAGTCGATAGCGGCAGCAGTGCTGCTTCGCTACAGGCTGACGATGGTGGCCGGTCACAAAGTGGAGCAAAAGATATCATTGACATTGTTCATGAAGTATGGCCTCAAAGTGAATGTCCATCCAAGGGATCTAACATCAATAGCATCAAGTATTATGAAAGAAACACAAGTTGTCACTACTAACGAAAAATGTCATATAGGTGGCGATGCCGGTGGCATTGGCCGTGGGATTGGTGTTGACATGGTGGTTGAAGTGATCTAAGGTGGTGGTTGATATGTTTCTACTTTCCGACATGAAAATTTATGGGAAAAGAAGTCACATGGAATGAGAAGGTGAGTAATGTTGAAGACTAGTGGTTTTTTTATGCCTCTTTTTTTTTTTTTTTTCTTTTTCCTCTCTTTTGTGAAACCAATAATACCTCTTGTTTCCCTTTTGTCACGTATTCTTTTAGAAACTCTTGTTTGTTATTTAGTTTCAGATGATATATAGATTCTTTATATTTGTTGTTTATTAATGCTGACCTTTAATAATTCGTTCTTCAGTTGGCATACAACTTCATAGCACAGAAAAGAATGCAAATTAATGTATTCACTTAGAAATGACAATTTTTCCCGCCCCACTCCCGTGGAGCCCCGCCCCGAATGGGACAAAAAAACCCGTCCCGAACGGGTTGGCGGGGCGGAGCGGGGTTTGCCGCCCCGTGGCGGGGCGGGGATGCCCCGCCCTGTGAAGAATTAAAAAATATATATATTTGTTTCGGACATTTTTTTGTTTCAAGTTCTTACTTTAAATATTGATATAGTTAGTTTGAACATTATTTGTATTGGATTTTAAAATTTTGAATTTGTATTTAAACATAAAA